ATAATTTGTCCGTTTCCTCTAGCCACAAACACGCCAACCCAACTCTTTGTCATTACCCGACCACGACACCTCCACCAACGTACTTGCTGGCGACGCACCGCCACTACGCCCCGCCGCTGCCCCGCAGACGGAGGACCGTCAGGGCGCACACAGCACGGCGCCGCACAGTAGCCGTCACCATCCGTCGTAGCAGCAGCAGCAGAGTCGCAGGAGTCGGTAAGCTCCGAGGATGACACGGAAAAAAAAAAACAAGAAGGCGAGGAAGGGAAGCAGAGGTTGCAAAAAGGGGAGCGGAAAAAAGTGAAAGCAGAGAGAAGGAACAAAAAGACGACGGCCCACCAAGTCCACGCGCACAGAAGACTCCGCACCCACCACCGACGGAGCAGCCACACCACACCGTGCACGGGACATGACGCCACTCAAAGCGACACCACCACACGCAGCGCCCCGCACCCGCAAGGGAAGGGAGAATGACCCACAACGCACCTCCTCCCCCTTTGTCTCTCTCTTCCCTTCATCCCCATCGAAGACAGCAGCACAGGCGGCACTGCCGGCACCAACTACGAAAGCATCACTCTACGCACACTGCAATATATATACCGTGTGTGTGTGTGCCTGGAGATACAAAAATAAAAAAGAAGGAAGAAGAGCAAAGCGTGTGAGGACGCACATACACACACAGAAGAGATGCAGGAGGCAAAGATAGAAAAACTCGATGACTAAGACTCAAAATGGCACCGCAGCACGGGCAGTGGCAACACACAAGAAAAAAGCTTTACCAGCAACAAAAATTACTTTACTCCTTAAGACGTTTTCACAAAACAAAAACAAAAATGTCGTGGAAGGCCCCTGTGTGATCCCCACAGTTCCACTCACATTTTGGCCGCATATAAAAACTTAATGATATAATCGTTTCAACCACCGAGAGGCCCCCGGTGTCCAGACACCGTTTAACTTTCACAGGGAACTGCGGTGTGTCGCTGTGGCCTTCATTCCTTCCTTTATTCCTTTTTCCTATCGGCGAACACACAATGCCGAGAGCGTCCGCAGCCGCCCAACGGAAGCGGTTAGTTGTTTTTATTCGTGTATTTTCAAATGAATTCAGTGGCCTGCGCGTCAGCCAGCACCGTGGCACACGTCCGCACCCACCACAAACCAGGACGTAAAAGAGAGAGCCCCGGTTCCTCCTGCGGCGACCGCAGTGCAGAGACGCAGTCAAGCAACTCCCCCTGCCATGCAAACGCGCAAACTCAACGCCGTCGCCAAGAACGAACCGACAAAACAACAACCGGCAAACCAACAAAATAACACATCCACAAATCAATCAACCAACAATATACTGAACAGATACACACAAAAAAAAATTCAGTGACTGGTCTCCAGTCATTGCTACAAACAAACAACATAACAAACAAAAATGGACGAAATAAAATAAATACATGAGGATTGCGCTGTGCTAGTGCTGAGGGGAGAGCGCAATTTGTGTGCCCAAGAAAAAAAAAAACGTCTTGCGTAAATTTCAAAAAAAGCGGAAAATAAAACAAAATGTATGTCTACATGAGACTTTATTTAGTTTAAAAAGTAGGTGGAGAAACGGAGATGCTCTCAGTAGAAGCACAAACACCCCTCCACCGGGGTCCACTCAGCACAGGGCCGCAAAGCCCCATAGCCCCAATAGCAGCAGAAACAGCCGAGACACACACCCACGCACCGTGCCGTCACCGCTTCCTGAATCGGGCCTCACACGTGTAAGGTTGTCGAAAGCAACGGAGCTGTCACCAGAAAGAGAAATGCTGGGTGCGTCCTTCGCAAGAATCGCGCTGGTGTTTTCGGATCCACCGCCAGCCATGCTACCGTTGTCGGGTTCATCAGCCAGGCGCACCTTTGGCGATGACGAAGCCGGCGATGATGAAGCCGGCGAAGACCCCGACACC